TAATGGGATGCCCAATTCTTTCCAGTGTGAGAGCGCCTCAAAATTTGCTTTTTTTATAACACTTTCCCTTGTAGCCAGATCGGACAAAATAATAATTTTTGGGAATTTGAATTAAAATACCCATAATTTTTAAAGATTAAATATTATTATACATGTATCCGTTAAACATATGCAGAAACATTTTATACTCTTTTTTTGTGATTTTGTGATATATAATATTAAACAATTGATTTTTGAACTTCAATACGTAATCAAAAGAATAAATGTATTAGCTCTCAATTAATAAAAGTTTTTAAAAATTTTCAATTGAAAATCAATACCACTTAGCATGACATTACAACAGATATCATCACATACATTTCAATTTCGCGTTTTCTTTCATTTTCATTGTTTTCCAATTTTTGTTAGTGATCTTCAACAGCTGCACAAATCTCTCTGTTTACATATTTTTCTGTAGGATTTTAATCAGGCCGTTCCTCTTTTTCCAATTGCTAAACGTCAGACCTACTGAACTTTGACAGTTGCTTGAGTTCAGTAGGTTTTGACGTCTATCAATTGCGCTCTCGTTTGCAATGAGAGACGAGTTGGGCATCTCTTTATCTCTGTTTCTAACATTCGCTAGCTGTAGACGCAGAGAAGCCACACCAGCAACGTGATTTTCCACTCGTTGTATTACATATATATATTAATAAACTATATTTAAATATATAAAATTGGTTTTAATATCGCGATTCATAGCTGTCAAAAAAGCTTCGTAGCTCAACAACGAAAATTTTAAAATTTCGCGGATTCGGAGAGTACAACTTTCGTTGTTGATTTACGTGATTACCTGCCGGCGACGGCCTTACCTCACGGTGCTCCAAAGCACAACGTATGAATTCAATGCGTTGATAAGCGCCCCAAGTAATACGAGCTATTTGCAAGTATTAATTTGGTTACCAGTGGCAGTGTGTCTGGCCCACACTACCATCTTGGTAAGATTCGAGGCCGACCTAAAACCTCTTCCGTTTTCGGGTACGGAACCCAGTTGCTTTTTGCAACTTCTTTTTAGAACTGAAAAACAGTTAGGCTGAATTTTCAGTTCTTCCTGCATTTAGGTTTCAACCACAGCCACCACGAATCTCCCTAAAGGGGCCATAACCCAATGAGCAGATTGGGTTATGGCCCCTGCTCCCCGTGGACTGTGACTGTGTAGCCGAAACTACTGCCAGTTGAGCAACCCATTACTCAATGACTGGTGACATTTGTCGTTTGAACTTCAAATGTCTTTTTATTTGGGATTTCATTTAAAGTCTATAATATCAGTTCAAGCTGAGTATTATAGCACTATTTCTGACATCATTTACTATGCTGATAATTCTGGGCAAAATAAATTAACAGTCATAGTGCATTTGGTTTTAGTCGCCTTTTACGACAGGCATGCCTTACCGTGGGTAAATTCTTACCCCTACCAGCAGGGGGATCGGAGAGTACAATTGTCAATTTTTCATATTATGTTGATATACATACCCTTAAAATACGATAGAATTTCAGCTGTATATTTTGCTTACTTTGAAGCAGCCGCTCAGATTAGATGTGTTTTTATGAGCTTGGCGACCATCGCTTATTAAAAGGAATGGATCAAAAAATTTGTTCGTGAGTTCTTGGACAAAAACAATACTGTAACGATGCCTCAGCCTCCATACCGCTAGACATGGCTCCGTGTGACTTTTCTCTATTTTAAAAAATAAAGAGAACCTTAAAGGGCCGTCGTTTTACAAGATAGATGAAAATCGCTGAAAGAGCTAAGGACTATTACAAGAATCGAGTTTGAAAAGTGTTTCGACGATTGAAAGAAGCGCTGGCATGAGTGCGTAATATCGAATGGGGACTATTTTGAATTTTTTAATGATTTAATGTAGACGAATGAAAAAAATTTTTTTTTTCAAAAAATTTAAATTCATTTAATTTATACTAATTACAAGCTGTATCTGACGTGGCATACTACGCCCCTTTCTGTACTCTCAAAACATTGCTACATAGTATATAATCTACACTTTTGTTCACCTAACGGTTGTTTGTATCACCTAAAACTAATCGTGATATAAAGTTATATACGAATATCAGAATGACAGGGCGAGTTTAAATCTGGGGGACACTATCTCCATCCTACTGAAATCATCGTTAAATCCCATTTTTATGACCTACTTGCCCAATTTCGACGAAATTAGATTTATAACATTATGACATTCCCATACTACGGTTTGCGAATACAGTCTAAAACCATTATAATTTGATATAAAATTTTTTTTTTTTTTTGTAATTGTATTGACTTTTAACATAAAGAGATAAAAATATATCACCTGGTTCTAAGCCTCCCCATCAATTTTCTGGCAAATAGGTTCAGCCGTTCTTGAGTTAAAAATAGTTTAACTAACACGACTTTCTTTAATACATGGGCATATTGCAAAATCGACATTGATTTTGCAAAAAAGGCCCCCTAATGGAATAAACAATAACTTTGTAAATTTTCACGTCTTTCCGTGCTGTGGTTCGGACGTTATACGGATACACAAAGAACTAGCGATTCCTTTATATATCCATACATTTAAGATTATTAGTTGCTTATGGTTTATGTGGTACACAATTCTTATTATGTTGTCGTAAGGTATCAATATTTTTGTTAAATTTGCAACACCGTACAGGTGTGAAGGATTTGTATAAAGCTATATGGAATCAGTTTTGGTTAAAACTTGTTTTTTATTTGTTAAGTCCGTTATGTGATCACTGAACGCGGAATCAGCTAATAACTAAAATTTATAAATTACCACTTGTAGTTTGTTTTTTTAATGCTGTCTTCGGGAAAACTTTAGTATACCGTCCCAGGCTTTCGGGGATAAAATGGGTATGGGCGGATAGAGCAGATCCTCCAGATCAAGAATATATACAGGTATAGCCGCGGAAACAATAATTAAATTATTGTTAAATTCTATTAATTCTGACAATAACAAAAGGGTTGCAAAATGTCAAATAACTAGTGTTACCTTATCGACATCTCTTGTAATTGAACTGAAAGAAATTAAAACAGATAATACCCCAAATACAGGAATCCAAAACCTAGAAAAATAAACTATTACAGAGCATTGATGTTAAGTATTACGTTATACCCTCTATGACAATATTACTTTTTATTGTAAAATAACCCTGGTCCGTCCAACACCGGGATGTAACAAGGTCTTTTCGCGTAGAATTTCTATTTGCATTGGCGGCCTTCGGCCGCGCTTCAAAAAAATAACACTGGTCGATCCAACACCGGGGTGTATAAAGGTTTTTTTGAGCAGAACTCCTTCTTGCGTTGGAGGCCTTCAGCCGCGCTTAAAAAAAAAATAACCCTGGTCGGTCCAACACCGGGATGTATCAAAATATTTTTCGCGCAGAACTTCTTTTTGCGTTGTTTCCTGTATCTAGGGTATAATCTCTCTGCTTATTTTATTTTTCTTCGTTTACAAAATATATTAGTATGGCAACACTGGTGTTTTGACATTCACAACCATTTTGTTATTGTCAAAATTAATAAAATTGAAGAATGATTTAAATATTGCAATAAAGCTTTTTTTGCAGCATCTAATATAAAAAACATTTCTAAAAACGAATTAGTCAAGTGTTAGTGGATATAAAAAAAAAAAAATATAGGTGTATAATTCATTTTAAACCGCAAAAATACGTACTTTAAATATCGCATATATGTTTTAACGTAGACAATGTCTCGTTTTTTGTATGTGATCACTTTTTTGCTTTCTTTATAAGTTTATCTTTATACTTCTTTTGACTTATATCTTGTGGTTGAATGTATCGTTTTATTAAGCGTGTTTTATGTGACCAGCACGTTAAGCTATTAGCTAATTTTGTATGGAAGACCTAGCCAACATATTTATATTGGCTTGTCAAAAGCTATTTTAGCTTGTGTATTGTATTGTGCTTGTGTTCAAATGTTGCAAAAAAGTAATTGACAATAACGATAAACCTTATTTTGACATACTGAAATGTAAACGAACTAAAATTATAGATTTTTGTGGATGGGTATTGAGTTGAAATTAAGACAAAATAAGAAAATTTGTTTTCAGTTTTTTGTATTATAGACAAAATACAGGCAAATGAACAAAATAAATATATTTGTATATTATATTAATATTCTGTTTACAAATTTAAAAATTCAAACTATCTCCATGTCAGACATTTTGAAATAAATTGAATATCAGCTGACTGTTCTTGCCCGCATTGCCAACACTGTTCGTTTTTAAGCCAAAATATGAGATAAATCAAGTGCGTTTTATTTTTCAACGATTAAGCTATTAGCTTATGACGGTCAAATAAAACCCGCCTATTGTATTGTTTAACTGCATTAAACAATTCTTCTATAGGGGCCGTATTTGTTCAAAGTGCTATGAATACGTTCAACTTGCGCATTTGTTGTTGAGTCAAGGATGAAATGATGCGAAACTCTTTGATTTGAGACAGAGCTGCCAAGACCTACATTTTTTATAACTATTGTCAATCATGCCACTGTCGAAAGAAAAAGGATTGGATATTTCAAAAATCACTTTTGGGTATTTTGCATTTCGTTATTATATTTAGGTGCTCGGTTCCCGAGTAAGCCTATATAACGCATATAAGTACATACATATCTAAATACGTGTATTTATATTATAAACATTTTAAAATATCATAGAACATAAAAAATAATACATAAATAAAAAAAATATAACAAAGAAACAATACAAGTCATAATAAAATATATTGGTTTTATGATTAACGTTTTAAATTAAATTAGTAGAAATTTCGTTTCGCACTGCTTTTGTTAGCTATTTTTAGCGGGTTTATTTCTGGCATATCGCCTTTTTTGATATCAGCTGTTCAAAACTCCCTGATCTTAATAATCAGGGAAAGAGAATAACAGAAAAATCAGCGAAAATGAGAGAGTCTCGCATCATGTCATCCTTGTTTGAATGATACACTGCAGTAACTGTATGTAGTATTTGCAATCGGTTGTACACGAACTTTGCTACATTACCGGTAAAACTATTTTTATTGTCAGTCATTAATTTTTAGTGTTTGGGTATATTTGTGATAATTTAGTTTACTTTGGAGATTTGGGGTACTACTGTGCACGGATGGGCAGAGACTCAGCATGTGCTAAATGAGCGTAAGTGATCGTATACGTACATAAACGGATTGTTTAACACAAGCAAACGAAGAGTGAAAGACGCGCACTGAGGATCAGGTGCACATTTTTCGTATACAATTAAACAAATTTTTATTTGATAAAATATCATTCATTCCAGAAATCGATTTGTTCTGAATACCACTTTGCGATTACGATTACACAGTTTTCGAACATGAAATCAGAGCCATATAGTATGTTCTAGAAATCGTTTTCGCAAATTTTTGGATATTTTGATATCAGTGAGCAAAAAGTGCGGGAAATTATTGAAATTTCTTTTCTAATTTTAGGGCAAAACATAAACGTCTAACTGAGGAAAAAAATTTTAAATTTTATTTGCCAAATTCGGACTTGGCAAAAAACTTTGTGAAAGAAGATCGTGTAGCTGCGGTGGCAAAAAGATATTAACGGCTGAAAAAAGTGAGCAAAATATCAATTAGATTAAACACGTATGTATGTTATGTGAACTGTATTAACGTTTCAATAGGTATGGTCCGATTGGAAAGGCTGCATCGGGAAGAAAATCCCACACAACAATTGCGAAAGCAGAGCTACTGAGGAGGATAATTCAACATATTTTTGCTAACCCCCAATGAGGAAGATGTAGCTCAAATTTGCGGAATTTATACGTCCGTGAAGACATCTCAAATTGCTCTTCATTTGGGGTTAACATCCATATTGTTGATGACGTCAGCAATTTTTTGGGCGCCATGCTTCCAAGTACTGATGAAATTTCTAGCGGCGGGGCAAAGTCCACACCAAAAAAATACGGCGCGAAGACACAGTGCAGGACTGCCCCAAAAAACACATGGCAACAGAGGAAGGTGCAGTTGAAAAGATATCTGATACTTTGCAGCTTCTTCTTGCGACTACCACCGACAACACGAAAATATTAACCGAATGCAGAAGTAGACTGCAAGGAATATAAAGCTATGAATAAGTTGACTAACCTAGTAGGGCAACAAAACTAGCACATTGCCGAACAACACCACAATCGTCGCAAGTATTATCTAGCCAAGCAGACCAAATTCGAGTTCAAAAGGATATTTATTTCAAATTAAATACTAAATGATAACGAGAAATTCATTGTACTAATTAATATTGTAATATTAACAAGTGATCTTATAGAGTAAAAATCTTTTAAATGTGATTGTTTGTATTGAATAAAAAAATAAAAATTAAACTATACGCATTAAGTTATTTGAAATTTCATGGCGAATAGATACAGCGGTAGTTCAGCAATTTCTTAGCCAAAAAAATCGTCCACTACATATATAGCAATGCCATAGAGGTCATAATAGCGACAAATTTTGTCCAAAGCACTGCATACATTTATGATTTTTACAACTTTCTCTGGGACATATGGCATTGCTGTTTAAAGCCATTTAAAGCGGCTCTTGAGGACTCCGATTACTCTCGCAAACGATATTTCTTGCCTTAGAATATTGTACATTGAATTTGTGCTGTGGCGACCAAGCGTTTGCATCAAGATAAGGGGTAAGTAAATATGATTCCAAGCCAAATCCTGAACTCCTAGTAGCCAAGATCTATGGTCTCCGCTCACATGCTTAGATTAAAAATACTTAAAGGAAAGATAAAGGTGTCGTTACTGGAGCCAGGGTAGCGTGCACCCACAGCCGTCATACGCCGTTATCGCAAATTTTTAAAATAACTGAATTAATATCGGCAACGAATTTCAAATTTGTAACTCATAATCATCGAATTAACGCTAAAGTAACCTTTTCTATTCAAGAACAAATAATCATTTTGCTGGGGCTTCGTACATACTAAAATTACTAAAAAAAAAGTTAATCCATTTTGGGCACTGTGCTTTACTTTGCACACGGTACTTCTTGCAAGCGATATGTCGGTGTGTTTTCCTCCCTCTGCAAAGGACCTCAATTTAGTAGCAAGCCTTATTTCAGAAACGTATCTTTATTTATACTGTAAAGGCAACAAAACTTTATTGGGACAAAATGCATCACTTGCGTTCAAATTGGTTTTATATATTTATCTGGGATATCTAAAGGATTATAATGATATCTTAATATATGTACGTGGTCGAACTTTTTCATACATTTCCCATTCATTTTGGCTTAATGAATACACAGGAATAGAAAACACGTTCATTGTATTAATTTCGTTGAAACAAATTGTATTTGTCAATTCTCAATCAGCTGTTTTGTAGTTGATTTAATTTAAGCAAATTCGTCCGAATTGCGGAAACCTGTTACCGAATTGCAAATTCGGTGCCGGATTTAAATCCCGCGATTTCCGGAACATGCCTGATAGTGATTTTTTTTAATACCAAATTGTCCAACCATAATCGAATTGCCACTCAACCAGAAATAATATTAATTTTTATATATTCATTTGCATATACACATATTCAATCGAGCCTAGACCCGCTCGTTCAACTTCTACACGCAGATTGATTATTTTTTATCGTTGATTCGCTTTATCACACAGTAAACGCAGTGAGCCCTGCTCTATAAAAAACTGCTGATAGGTTCACCAACACACTCACATTTGTTATGTGACATATGTAACTTATGTCAGTCGTTCACGATCAAAAAATTGCTTTCAAGTTGCAGTACATTTACACTACTTCTACCCCACTCTAACATTTCGAACTTGAACGCCGTCTTTCCCCGTCAATTTTTCCATTCAATTCGTGGGGCATCACATAGTTGTTTTTGTACAACGAGATTGCTTTTCTCAACTCTTCCGATTCTATAATATCTTACCATTAAATTACTAATTTCGTCAAAACTTTCAAGGATTTAATCGGTTTCCATGATGATTGCCATGTTTACATATATATGTATGCATGTAAGAAATGCTGAATTCTTTAATACTGTCATAGTGATGATCAAATGAACAGTAAAATTACTCTTAGAGTTTATGGTTCTTCCTAAACCAAAGTTGTGTACGTCAAAAAGATTGTTATTAATTGCTATAAACCAAAAGTATATCATGCTTCTGTGCAATAACACTTTTGAGTTTTGTGCTAACAATATAAAAATATCTATGAAAGAAAGGATTTTTCATTTATAACATACGTTAATTGAATAAGTTCCAAATAAAGTTATATTATCAGTAAATTTTCATTTTTATTAGTTCATTCTGAAATAACCATGAATTGGAGAGCGACGCACGCAGAGCTATTGAAAGGAGCCAGCTTGGAATCATTTGATATTTGGTTTTTCATAGTTCATTACTTAATTAAATTTTTTGTTGCATTCCTCTTTTATATCCATGTATATTTGTATACACTTGTAACATGTTGCTACAGAATATAATTGTTTTGTTCACCTAACGGTTGTTTGTATTACCTGAAACTAATCGAAATAGATATGGAGTTATATATGTACATATACATATAAAAATGATCACGATGACGAGACGAGTTGAAATCCGAGTGACTGTCTGTCTGTCCGTCTGGGCAAGCTGTAACTTGAATAAAAATGAGCATATCTTGATGAAACTTAGTGCACGTGTTCCTTGGAATGTTTAGCCAACGCAATTAATCGGAAACGTATAAGCTAATAGGTGAAATCGGATGATAATCCCGCCAACACCCCATATAACGGTTTTGTTAAAAACTACTAAAAGCACGATAAATCAATAGTTAAATGCGTCAGCGACATTAAATTTAACCGCCCACTTTTAGGTGAAATCACATATCTCGGGACTTGCTCCACCGATTTTAACCTATGTTACAGTGCGAAAATTTTTCACAACAAATAAAGCACCAATTTTTAATACTACGCCTACGTAATAAACCCTGAACTCCGTCACCTGCAGCTTTGGTGGAAACCCCTACGGGACCGCCGTTAAGTATTTATTCGTTATTAGCAGCTCTAGTTTCAGTACATCTTTGTCGTCTGGTTCTTCTCAGCTCTTGGAGTATCAAAACTGTCGTCTTCTCCATAATGCCCCATACCTGCCTCGATTGCAGCATATAAGGCTGTTGTCTGGTGTTATTCGGCAGATCTAAATTTCTTGTTATTTATTGTTTTTATTATCCTAAAAGTCATCAAGTTACAAGCTAAATAAATTATTGCTTTAAAAAACACTGGGTTTTGGTTTTTTGTTAGTTTATATTAAGAAATATTTCAAAAATTAATTTATAAAATGCATACGTTGAATACTTTCTTTGGCCAGTGTATATATATTTTTATGATGTAGGTATATAGTAAACGACGCGGAGTTTGAAAGCAGTGTAGTTGGTTACATACTTCAGTGCGACTTATAGATCAAAGACAACTTTACATATTCAAATTACTTGTACGTATGGTTAGAACATGTTAGTAACATTTGCAATTGGCTCTATGTTTCAGGGCGACTCATAGATGTTTCAATGCAATTTATAAACCAAAGGCGACATACATTACTAATAAGAAGATTTTCTAACCAATAGATAAATGACTACCAACAATGAATTCAAATACTAGGATTCAAGCAGTGTTCACATCTTGAAGTGAGGCGATTATCGTACCAGTAGCGTAGAATTATCGTACATGAAACGAAATTATCGCACTTTTAAAAAGAATGACTATAATTATTTTAATTATTGCTAATTTCTGCAATTTTTCTTGGAGGTGTAATGTCCAAATCAACATCAGTTGGTTTAGTATTATTTATTTCTTCGGAATCTTCACGTAAAGAACTCATTTTTCACTTTACAGCTACAGAGTGAAAATGATAGTTTATAGCCAATAAATTAAAGTTTTCGATTGACATATGTACTTACTCATTAATATAAAAACACAATCATTTAATATAGAAGCATCATAGCGTTGAGCTTCCAGTTACAGTTTTTTTCGAATTACTATTTTAAATCTTGAACGCGAGAACGTTAACTCAATACAATAACAAGAATAACAGCCAACATTCGAACACTAAATATGCAAAGTCTGTAAAGTCTGAACATAATCGAAATCAAACCACAATATCGATATTATTTATTCGTTGAACGAACCAGTAGATGGCGTTGTGAGCAAAAAGACAGAAGAAATATTTGCTAGCAGTAAGAGCCAGGAGCTCGCGCCTTCTCCTCTTTTTTCCTATAAAAAAAAAATCGCCCAATTGTCTGCGAGGGTAGAAATAAGATACATTTTTAATGCGTCATAATGAAAATTATCGTACAATCTGCGTACGATAATGATATCATATCGTACATCGTACGTAGGCATGAAATGATCGCATGTGTACGATAATTATCGTCAGCCGATCCGAGGACAGGGAGATCTCTCTAGTGAGGCAGGTAACCAATCTACCAAGGACTTCTCAAAAACAAGAATATGAATATCAACAATATAAGTATATCTAGAAGAATCGATTATGATTCACATAAAGGTCATGACGAAAGATGTAGCTTTAATCGGAATCGTTATGATTCTAACGGCAGGGACGGCTATAAATACAAAACAAATAGCACGTTATACTATGTTCGCACCGACACAAAATTCGTGTTTTTATAGACAAAAGAGGTTTTCAAGCGAAAACTTGTGTTTTCATCCATACAAAATCTGTCAAACGAAAACACAGTTTTCGATGAAAACCCCTTGAAAACTTACATTCCACTCATTATAATCGGTGCCTGCTCTAGTTTAATCGATATTATTAGAAGACATATTTTGCCGGCCCTAAATATCAGTTGACAATTTTTTTACATTTCATAATTGGCCTAAACGTACCCTACAAGAAACTGCTGATGGCTTCACCAATAACTCACATTTGATATGTT